TCTCGTTGAAAACCCGGCCATTTATGTACTTATGTATCCTGGCTCGCAGTGCCCCACCCCTTCCCCTCTCCTTTTCTCTGCTCCGGCCACTTTGCCAGCCAGTGGGCTGTGGTGAAGGAATAATTGGATATCCTTGTTACTTATTTACAGTCCTTCTGCACAGCACTGCACTGCAACTTTTGGTCCACTCTGTCAGCTCCGACTGGGCTCGGGTTCTTGGATTTGGTCTCCTACTTGGAGCTCCAAGCTCCGTGCTCCAAAGGCTGAGACTGAGACTGACGTTGACGTTTGTTAGCTTTTCAAAATGCTTTAAGTAAGTTTAATGGCTTCCCTAAGCTGTCCCGAAAGTGCTGCAAAGTATCCATGGCAGTGGAGCGAGCTGGACCTTCACAGAGGGAGAAATCGTAAATGTTTCAGCAAATGGAAACTCTATACATCCAGTATGCAACTGTTAGATACGCTCTATTTTACCCTCTTGTTCCGGGTTGTGTATGTGTGGCTCCTTTCTAACATTTTTCCATTGAAGAGTTGTTTTATTTTACCGCTTACTTAAGGAGCTATTTAAATAAGACCTTTTAATCAAATACATTCTGGTTTGTTCTGATTATCACTTAATAGATATCTGATTTATTAATTTTTGATTTCGTAATTAACCTCATTTACAATATATAAATAAAAGAATGCAGTTTTTGTATTAAGCAGTTTGTTTCGTTTGTTTTTTCATTTATATCTTTGAAAAACATCTGTTGACTTTATTTATTGTCTTGTGCCAATGGAACGTGCCCCGGGTAGTGTGTTTTGCAATGCACTGTAAAATTCAGTTGATTGCTTCCCATGTTTGCATCCTTTCTCACTGATTCCCCGCCCTTTCCTCACTCGCTGCAAAAATCCGGCAGGACGACAAACAAAGACGGCAAGTCCTGCTATTTTTCCACTGGTTCACTTTGCTTCCGTGTTTAGCTGTTCCCAGCTTCCGCTGTTGTTTCACTTGCCTCTTGGGGCAGTCCTTCGCCCCGCACTGTTCCGATGCGCTTATCCAGCTAGCAGGACATGGGGGACATGAGGGACATGGGAGACGTGGCAAGGACTAGGTCGTCGAGCAGGGGCGACAATCTCAAATGGGAATTAGCGCGGTCTGTAATAAGGATCGCCGACGCAATCGCCGGCGCACAATCATTGGCCTGTGTAAACCTGCACTTAGCGTGGTCATCGGTCCGCCTGCAACGCGAGTCCTGCATCCTGCGGATACGCGGCTGTGTATCCCAGCTGGGCGCAAATGGTGGCACGCTTTGTGCGGCTTCCGCTCCGCCGGCTAATACCCAAATGGATGTTTAGTGTAAGTCGACCCGCACCGCCCTCTTCTTTTACAGGGTAGTCGGGGCAACAATGGGTTTACTAGATTCGGGCGATAAATCAATTAGGGGTTTTTAAGCGGTAGTAAATTGCTTACATGCTTTCTTTTTCCGAATGTTTTTGATCACAATGGTTGGCAATCATAGTTTTCTAGAGCAAAACTATTTAATATTGATAATTATAAATATTTTTGCAGAACTTTTGAAAAGTTGTATTACAAAAAACATTTCTAATGCTAAGGTTCATATTTTTTAAGGGATAGACTCGCTAGTTACTAGTTTATCAGCTTGTAAAAAGGGTGGTTTTACATTGTATGTTATACAAGTATTATAGAAAATGTTCATGCAGTTTCTTTTGAAAAATGAAAGCTTTTGGCACTAATTAATTTAATGGCCAGATTAAGATTAATTAGATTAAGAACCAATCGAAACTAGAGGGTGTCTCATGGTCGAATCACTTTCCTTCGACCTTCTCAGCTGTCCCTTTTCGGCATCCTTGTCGCCAACCGCCATTGTTCCAGGCTTTGGCCACATCCTCTTTATGTTTTGCTTAATTTCTCTTTCGTTCTCTGTGTGCCTTTGTTTTTGTGCCGGCTTTGGGTCCAGTCCTGGATCCGGCGTAATTACGTTGCTTGTTATTGTTGACAAAGTCGCCGTCGTCATCGTCATCGAGTCCTTGCCTCAGCGAGTTCGAGTCGCACGTTGTTGCTCATTTCTGCTTAAAACTTAATGACACTTTTAGTTAATTATCGCGGTGGATTTGCAAAATTAAGCGATTTGGGCATAATTACAAGGGATTATGTGGCCAGATTTTTTCGGTCTTCCTTTTATGTCCCTAACCGCAATGGCTGAGGGACCCAGGACAGTGGATTCCCTTTTTGATGGTGCATAAATTAATTCCGCCTTGTTGGTTAAACACAATTCCCAATTCATTTAAAAGGTTGGTTTTTAAGGTAGTCTGGTCCAAAACATTTAAGCGCACCTAAGACTTTTAAGATTCTCTCTTCTTGGCTTTGGCCAAAAGTGCAGCAAGGCCAACTTGAGCAAATAATTTGTGCGTTAAGCTTAACGGAAGCCCAACAAAAAAATGCATGAAACCGCAGGAGAAACTTTTTAGACAACAATTTCGCAAACTTTTCACAAGTGCTGCAAATTGTAGCAAAAGACGAAGAAGGAGGATGTCGGGGAAAAATGCCGAATGTCGATGTGGATGTGGTTGCAGATGCGGATGAGAATGCGGCAACTTGTATTTGCCCACTTAGACAACGAACGAGTTAAAATTTATAGGTATTTCGGGCAAAATCTCGCCGAGTATAAACCACTTAGGCTGAGATCCAGAAAAGGGGAGTGGCCTAGCCACTTTTGCGAGCGTTCTCCTACCTTGGAGCAGGCAGCACTTTTGCCTGCCGCTGCACTCGCAGCGCATAAATCAGCCATGAGGAGCAGCCAAGTGCCAGGACCTGGCTCACGCGTGTGTGGTTGTGTGAGAGTCGAAGTCCGTGTTACCAAAAACCAGGTGGAATGGCTAAAATGGTTCTTAAGACCACCGAGTTATCCTAAAATGCACGAGGATTAAGTTGCGGCATCTATCTACCCTGTTATTTGGGACTCCATAATATGATTTGTTTTGATATGCTATCATATCGTTTGACGCACTTCATGTTATATTGCCAACTATCTTTAATTTAGATGTACGAATGTAAATAAAAATTACATTGCAATCATTTGGAATAACCACAATTAAGTGACGAGTTACTTTATAAATTTAGGTACATAAATAAATTTGATGAACATATTTGTAAAACCTTAAATCTTATCGGAATTACATAAATGGAAATCTAGTTTTTTCTTTCAAAGAATTATTGTATTGTAATGACTTAAAACAAACGGAGCACCAAACCTCCCTTTTAAAAAAAACCCTCGAATATTAAAGCCTTCCCTTTTCCACCACTTTTACCTATGCGAACTTTTTATTTTAAGCCAAACTTTTCTTATATTTCATTGTATTTTTCGCACCACACTGCCTTTTAAGCGGGAATATTGAAGGGAAACTATAAATAAAGCAAATAACAATAAATTCTGTAAATCAACAAGCAAACAACAGCAACATACGAAGTCCAGGGGCCAGGAGAGCACTTAGCCGTAGGCTCCGGGCAAAACATAAAGAAGATTTCATTTAATTTCTGTGGTCAGCCGGTTGGAGTGGTCTGGCTCGCCTTTTCGAGCACTCGAGTGGCGGGAAAAAATCAGCATAGAACTGCATCGAAAACGGTGAGCAAAATGGGGGAAAAGGGGGCGAGGGGAACTTGTAAGTGGATCCAGATCCAACATGAGTTGCATTTGCATACAAAGAGCTTTTACTGTTCTTCTGCTGTTGTCATTTCTTTATTGCACTCCTGCCCCACTGAAAGGATACCACACACACACGTATACAGTGGCTCATATCCAGCCGCCTATGCACACAAGTAAATCGTGTATGTGGGGGATGACAGGCTATTTAATAGTTACCTGTTCACTTGGCCAGACTTCTTTTGCTGCTGGCCAGGTCCTTGTCTTCCGCAATAAAGTTTACATAACTTCCAAAGAATACTTCGAGATGTGCTTGGAAAGAATTTCTGCATGTGGTCGGGCTGTGTGTGTGCGTGAGATGTTATGCAAACAGAGCTTAAACCACTTTTTGCTGATAACATAGACGAATGTTGCATTTTCGTAGCACACTTTTTCGGGCAGATTACCAAATAAAACAAAATCAGTAATAAACATGCACCAATATATCAAAAGTTATTCTGTTTGGATAGAAATGCAGATGGATTCGTGATTGTGTAGCAAACGTTATTGTAGATATACTAAATATTATTTTTAGGATATTATAAGCGATAGAGAAATCTAAAAATAATTTCTCTTTCCAAAACTGGGTTGACAATAAAACCACCTAAGTCATGTCATCTAAATCTCACTTTACGTTATGTGCATCTCGTATATCTTAATCTGAAAACAACACTAAGAAAAAATAGTTTTCAGTTTAAACGACCACTTCTTGTTGTTATGCAACACTGTGCAGCTGGCAGCTGTAGGGCCATAATCCCAGTGAAATGGCGTGAAAGCTAAGTGTTATGCCCCATCTGTGTTTTCTCAGCGACAGCCGAGCTGGGATATGGAATGGGAAAATGTTCACACACGAATATACGTATTGTGGTACTGGAATATTTGCTCAGCATACCTGAGTTTCCTCTGAAAAGTTGTTGTGTTTCCTTCCTTTGCTCCCCTCAAATTGTTTGCCCATTGTGCGTATTTATTATTGGCCGGGCATCAATGCTGCAAGTGGCATATGAATTATTTAAATACTCCTATCAGCCTTTGTTATAAAAGTCTCCGAGAGATAGTTATAAATTTTTAAATTCTTAAGGTATTTACTTCACAGACTGTAAAAAATTAACAAGAAAGGAAGCTAGCTTCGGCAAGCCGAAGCTTATATACCCCTGCAGACTTCAAATATGTTGAACAAAGTACATAAAATGTAAACAACATCGAAGCTATGACGATTTTTTAATTTTCCATATATTAATTCATAACTCAAGAGTCCCTTGTCTGATGAAAACCAACAATGTTATAATTTTATTTCTGTTATTTCTATAAAGATTTTTCGAATTTTAGTATTTAAAATTAAAACATGTATTAATATATAAATAATACATTTACAATAATAAATGTATTAATTTTAAATAAACTACAAATGTACAACCGAAAAAGGTTTGAGGAAAGCAAAACACATGTGGGCTTAAATTTTGAAGTGCAGGCAGAACGCAAGTAGGACGAGAATGGCATCGACTTGAGGTAGGTTGGAGCTATCCTTTCCACTGAAAATAAAATATAAGTTTTTAAAGGCTACAAAGTTGAAGTAAAGCTTAAGTACTCGATGGGCCTTGGAACATTTTTTTTGAACTCCCCATTCACATTTCCTGGTGGATAATATCGCACTACTACGAAGGTGCCTCCAAGTCGATCTCTGGCTTGGCCATGACCCATTTTTTCAGTTTTTTTCCACACCAAGGCGGTAAAATGGGATGTTTTCATGTCAAACCCAGGCTTGCTAAAATCGTAATATTTGATTTCATCGTACCAATCTTGAACACATTTCTCGGGATCTTTAAATCGGTGGCACAAGTTTTCACCGTAATTTACTGTATCTCTTGACTGATCCACTTCTCCTTTGTCGACCAGCTCCTGTTGAAGCGTTTGATGGAGTAAATGATCAATCCCTATAATTTTAGAACACACGCAAGGGACATACTCTCGCATGTCTCTCACATTCACGCGTTAGCTTGTCGTCCAGTGTCAGTGGTGGAGAGCCGTGTTTTTCCCTCAACTGGTTGTGCTTGTCAAGGCTTTCCGTCTTGGGGCTGGCCTCGACTACCAAAAACTGTAAGTATTCTCGTTAAAGTGTTGGTGTTCAGGAACATTTGAAATTTAAATATTTTACCCAACAGAAAGCCACAACTAGTAATGTGTTCACCAAAGCCATTTCTAGTGTTATGCACAAAGTAAGTATGAATAATTTGACAAGTCTCAGATTTGTATAAGATATTTGGCCTCGGGTACCATGATCTCAAAATAGTTTTCGAAACGGTTATCCTGTATTTACGGGGTGAACCACACCTTTTACTGAAAATTAATGCTATAAAGCTAAAGTAAGAACAAAATACTCGATGTTGTGTAGTTATTGCACGCACAGGAAAGTTCGAAAAATAAATATATAAATAATGGAAAAAAAATTTTAACGTCGTAGTTTTTAATCTCGCGAGCGTGATTTTCAAAACATGGAATTTTTTAATAACCTTCGAGAAAAAATTCCATTAAAAGTCGACAAGCTTATCATATAGCTGCCATAGGAAAGATCGAAAAATCTATATAGAAATAACGGAAATAAAATGATAACACCGCTGTTTTTCATCAGACAAGCATGATTTTTATACCCTTGCAGAGCAAAGGGTATTATAATTTCAGGAGACACCTCAGATGCCATGAAGTATATATATTTTTGATCAGCATCCCGTTCTAAATCGAAATAAGTCTGTCCGTCTGTGCAAAAAAAAAAACAACCACGCATTGACTACCTTCGCTTCGGTCGCCAGCTCAGCAAGCCCAAACACAATAACCACGAAAACCGATACAGACATCATAACTCGCTCGCGGTCCAATGTTATCAAAGCTCTTTCTGAAGAAGCGAACAAAATTAAAAAAAAATTAAAAATTAATAGAGGAACCAGATCTGATGGTCCTCAACGATGGATCTCCCACACATTTACCACCCACAACTCCCTAACCCATGTAGACCTTTCCTTAATCACCCCGCAGATAGCACATAGGTGCAGTTGGTTGATCTTGGCCAACCGTCACGGCAGTGATCATTTCCCCATATCAATAAGTTTTTCCATAAATTTTAGTCCTGACCCCACCCCACCCTACCTAAATATAAACTAGATTTAGCTAATTGGGATGTTTATAGATCGAAGTGCGAACAAACAGCAATCAGTTGGAAGACCGGTTGTTTAAACCACCAAGTTGCACGATTAACCAAAGGGATTAGGTCCGCAGCTAACTGCAGTATTCCACAAACCAAACGTGTCGTGCATAAGGCAGCAGTTCCGTGATGGAATTGCACACTTCAGAAACTTAGAAATGAAAAGCAACACTTGTTCGCGGTTTACAAGTCCAGAATGTCAGGCTCTAACCTAAAGAATTATAAAAAAGCCAATGCAGTTTTTAAAAAATCTATAGGTACGTGTTGCTAAACGGTTTGGTCCGACGTAAAGAGGCTGGCCGGTGTGCCACCACAGCCATTTCGATTCTTGAAGTGCGATTATATATTCTGTTTGACATCAAATATGTCTGCAAGGGTTTATAAGCTTCGGCTTGCCGAAGCTAGTTTCCTTTTTTGTTGGAATATAGAGTTTTCTAACGACTCTAGAATTAAGAATTAACTTTTATCAAAATCGGACGACTATATCATATAAACAATAGTCGAAAATATGGAAAATTAATAAATTCGTCATAGCTTCGATGCTGTTTAGACTTTATGTATTTAGCAAAAGGGTATTATTCTCTCGTATGGGAGCTATCCGATATAATCGGCCGATCCGGCCGATCCGGCCCGTTCCGACTTATATACTGCGTGCAATAGCTACACAATTTTTGGGAAAGTTTCAGAAAATTAGCTTTAAAACTTAAAGACTAATTTGAAGAGAAACAGACAGCCGGACAGACGTACAGACGTATTTCGATTCCGATCGTGATGCTGATCAAGAACGTATATACTTTATGGTGTCTGAGGTGTCTCCTTCTCTGCGTTGCAAACTTCTGACTGAAATTATAATACCGTTTGCTCTGCAAGGGTATAAAAATTAAAAGAACTAGACTCTTACTCTGGAAAATGGTATTCTTAATTATAATCTGCCTAAAAGATAATTTTTATTAAGCTGTGAAATATTTGACCGAACCTGGCTAACTCAATGCCTATTTACTTATCCTTCTTGTCTATTTTGGTCATTCTAATCAGAAGATCCCCACCACACTTCATCGATCCCTATTTAAAGCCCGGAAATTAAGCTTGGCCTGCAATTTTCGCTTGTTCCGCTTCTCCTTCGATTATCCTGGTGAGTAGGCCTCTCGGGAGCCTATCTCGCGGGGCGGCTTCGTTAACAGCTGCGACAGATTTCTTTGAGCCTTCTGCTTCTACACTCAATGGACATCCGGTGATGATTTTATAATTTAATTTTTCCACCCACTTCTCTTTTTTCGGTGCACGCAACTTGGCTCCATCGGGAGCGGCGGAAAAAAGAGGAGGAGCAGGCTGCTGCTGCTTTTGGAGCTGATTCTGACTGTTCCTGGCTCTGACCAAAAGCATTGAAGTTCAGCGAGGCAGAAACTTGGCAAACAAAACCGGATGCGTGGGCTGGGGATCTGGGGGCCGTCTTCAAGTTTAAGTTGCCCGGAAATTGTCTGTTGTAGCGATATCCTGCAGCGTTTTTATATTCGCGTTATGAACTTGTGTCTGTCCTGGTATTTTTGTACTTTCGTGCGTGTGTTTGAGTGTGGATGGATTAATAGCGGCCATGTCTGCCGCACCCGCTGACCCCCATGGAAAGCTACTGAATCAGCAGCCCCCGATCCGCCCACTTCCTCACCTTTCGCTCCATCATGGTCATCATAATTTTCTCCAGTTTTTTCCCAACCCAACCTCTGCTGCTGGTGTCTTTTAGCTTTGTCCGTTTGTTTGTTTGTTTCGTTTTTCTCTCTTTTCCACCGTGTGCGTGTCTTGCCAAAGTTTTAATTAATTTTCATATTTTGCGCAGAGGAAGTGTCCGAGTGAGGAGCTGCGGCAAAATGCCCTGGGGAGTTCTCCTAAAGCGAAATTTCCCTTTGGGGCAGGTTCATCTGAGCGTTGAGCTATTTCAGTTTGTTAGTGTAGCATAAGTTCCTTAAGAGGAATGAAGAAATAAGTGAAAGGACCAGGCACTCATAACTTTCCTTTGGAAATCTTCTGAATTGTCGAGATATTTTCCAGGGACAGACAAGAATAAACTTCTTCTTAATTGCATACTCTGTATGTTCTTTTTGCTTAGCTTGTGTATAAATGATTATGCTTATTTTTGCTTTACTAAGTAAAAGAATAATAAACACAACACAGAGCTGAAAATTGTGTAACCCTATTAAATAAATATTACATTTTCATACTTGAGAATATATGTTGTAAATAAGAAAGCCAAGAAACTAAATCGTTGTTTTATTATTGTAGAACTGTGACTCTGTATGGCATTTGCTTAGCAGTTTCCCAGGAACGTGCGCATCCTTTCAGGAGCTGGTGCAATTGCAGCCAACAATGGGAAAATCTAGCACAGAAAGCGGATGTTCATTTGGCATTTGGCTCCCACACACACTCTCCGGATGCCAACGGCCAAGGAATGTTTCCGGAATTATTTATCGAAGCGAATGCAGCGGAGGTGCACATTAAATGGTGAAATTTATAAGGGCAACGCGCTGGCTTCCAAATCTCCTTGCGTTTTGCTGCTGTGTGGCTGTTGTCGCCTAGGTGCACTTTATGATGTCTCCTTAGCCGCAATTTGGGGATATGGCAAGACCGACGTGGGGCAGCCCATCTAGGTTGGCCATCCGGTCGGGCGGACAGCTTTATCTGCACCGAAAGTGGCTGATATTTTACCGGCGGATCGGTAGACACACGGTAGCAGCTGCACAGTGAAATATAATAAACAATACAATATAAAAGTGTTCGCGAAAAATTCCAGTTCCCATTTTAATTTATTTTTGCAATTTACGTCTGTAGCTTCTTTCATATCAACGTAATTATTAATTTAACAAAAAGTAAGAGTGCTTAATAATTAAATACAGAAAATATAATATATGATTTTATATGATTTCCATTTTTGACCTCGTTGGTATTAGGCGTACAGAGTTTATGGTCATGTTAAAGTAGCTAAACTTTTTTAAAAACTTTTCTAAAAGACCTATGAACCCTTAAGATGTGAATAAAATCCGTTTTCTGTACAGTAAACTCTTTTCTTGGAACACTTTTAATATTAATCTCCTGTGATAATTTTTAGGACCACCACCCTTCGATTTTATCTCTGTTTAAACTTTGTACAAGAACGGCTAGAGTTTGCTTTCAGCCAGGACCACATCGCCATTTCCATTTTTCATTTCTCACAGTTGTCTTGCGGCGATGATCGCAGCGCTTTTGTCGTCATCAGACGGCCATCCTCGTCGCCATCGCCATCGCCATTCCACCCCATCCCATCCCATCCCAACCACACTCGTCGTCCTGGCCATCGCCGTTCGTCCTGCGTCCTGCGTCCTTATCGTTGAGACGCTTGCAAGCCGCCGCTGACTCTAAATAATCCTTTCCATGCGACACAAAAAATAAAGGAACACACAGGGAAAAGTGGCAGCCGCCGCAGATGAAACGAGGACAGTGGCGGGGGCGGGGCATTGCGAGAAGGGGCTGTAAAATCCAAGTTAGTGCGCATAAATCAAGCCTTTAAAACGTGCCTCGCAACCGAAATGTCCGCCGAGGATGCATGCGCCCCACCGCCACCCACTTGGCCCTCCAACCCCCACTCTGCCACCCACTCCACCACCCACTCCGCAGCTGCTCCACTCTTCCGCAGCCACAGCGTCGTCGCAGCCATCGACGTTGGCCCAGAAGTTGCGGTGGTTCAGTTTTCCGTATGCAATTTTATGCAACTGTGGCACATCCGCCTCCTTTCCATGGAAAATCCATCCCCCGTTTTCATCCCGGCGAAAGATACACACCCAGCCTGCGGTTGCATGTCTGAAATTGTTTACAACTGCATAAAATTTATAATCTTGAAGAATTTATACATTTATTTATTCCGTGCTGTTCATTACAGAGCGGCTGAGGGGGAGTCGCAAGAAAATCATATCTGGAAAAGTCCATGTTGGGATTCACCTAGAGTTTAGAACCTTCTGTCTGTCGTTAATTGGACACGTTATTTGGCCAGAAGCCATAAGAGCCTGCAAAATTAAATAAGGAC